GTTGCTGTGATAAACACCATGACCAAAACAACTTGGGGAGGAAAAGGTTTATCAGCTTACACTCTCAAACTGTAGTCCATTACTGAGGGAAGTCCAGACAGGAACTTAATTAGGGCAGGAACCTGGAGGCAGGAGCGGATACAGAGGCCATGGAAGAGTGCTGCTTACTGGCTTGCTCCTCATGATCTGCTCAGCCTGCTTTCTTACAGAACCCAGGACCAACAGCCCAGGGATGGCATCACCCACAATGGGCTGGGTCCTCTCCAAACAATCGCTAACTTAGAAAATGCCCTAAGACTTGCCTATAGCGGGATCTTAGGGAGAGGCATTTTCTCAACTGAGGCTCCCTCCTCACTGATGACTCTAGCTTGTGCCAAGGTGACACAAAACTAGCCAGCACAGGTATCATAAATAATGAGATAGTTGAAAGCATACAAGAGGGTGTGTACAGGTTATACAAACACTACACCATTTTATTTAAAAGACTTAAAGCCTCCATAGGTTTTGCTGTTTTGGGGCACCTCAGAACCAGCTTCCTCAGGGGATGTATAAAGTTCTCAGTGTACCTGTCATCTAGCTCCAGTAATTATCAAGGCCTGGTGCTGGGTGTGTAGCTCAGTTGGCCATGTGCTAGCCTTGAATGCACAAAGCCCAGACCCGAGTTCAGTTCCACCAAGCACCACATAAGTGAAGTATAGCGGTGCATGCCTATAATCCCAGCAATCCCGGGGAATCAAAGGTTCAAGGTCATCCTCAGCTACATTGGTAGTTCAAGACCAGCCTGGACTATATGAGATTCTGTCTCTAAATGAATTTAAAAAATTCAAGGCCAATTTTATTCCATCATAACTTTAACTTTATATTTTTTTTCAACCTGGGGTATTTAGGAGCATATATTTTTTTTTCTATTTTTTTTTAATTTTGTTGTTTGAATATTGATTCAAATAAAGGATGATATAAGTCTCTTTAATATTCTTTAAGTCTCTTTAGTCTGCAAATTTCCTCATATATTTGTTCCCTTCTTGTTATTTTTTGGTTGAAAAAAAATTCTATAAAGCTTCCCTGTGCAGTACAGTAGCCACATTTGACAATAACACCAATTCTGGGAAGAAATCAAGAAAACAAGCCCATACACAACATATACAACAGCCTCAAGACTATAAAAATAGAAGACTGGGGGGCTAGCTCAGTCAGTAAAGTGCTTAAGGCATTAACATGAGGACATGAGGTAAATCCCTAGAACACACACAAAATAGGGACATGGTTCAAGGAAGCGTCTTCTAACCCTAGTACTGAACAGGCAGGAGATGATGCATCTAGACGGATCCCAGGGCTTGCTGGTCAACCAGCCAGACTAATAAGAGAGCCTCGGGTCTTCTTAGTGAGAACCTGTGTCTCCTAAAACAAGGGGGATGGTGGCTGAGGAATGACACTCAAGTTTAACCCATAGTCATCACACACACACATATACACGTGTATCTGCACACACACGCATGCATACATACCTACACATATTCACAAATATGAAAAAAAAACCAATCAATCAAAAAGCCAACATCTAGGACAAGTATGCTTTTGAAAAGTGGCTAGTGTGACTGAAGAACTAAAATTTAAATGGTATTTAAGCACAGTTAATATGAATTTAAATATAAAAGGGACTATTTAAATTTGTTGATGGGAAACTTGGAAATCTGGACACATTGGTGTGTAAATTTTATGGAAACTGATGTAAGTTTAATGCTTCTGATGAAAATGTAGAATTAAGCTGGGATCTATTTCAAATGTGAACTAATAAAAATAAGTCTTTCTTTAAAAACAGAGCTGGTGAGATGGCTCAATGGTTAAGAGCACTGACCGTTCTTCCAGAGCACCACATGGCAGCTCACAACCTGCTCTAACTCTGCTTCCAGAGGATCCATTGTCCTTTTCTGACCTCCTCAGGCACCAGGCATGCATATGGTTCACAGTTATCATGCAGTCAAAATATCTATACACATAAAATACAATAATAAATTAAATACATAAATCTTTAAATGTGAACTGCACACATAAAGATCCAACATGAAAAGAGTATGTACTGTGGTGATTTGGATGAGATCAGCTCCCATAGGCTCACATGTTTGAAGACTTGGTCTGGGTTAGTGGAACTCTTTGGGAAGAATTAGGAAGTGTGGGAAGAACTGAGGGACTGTGTCACCAGGGGTGACAAGTTCAGGGTCTCTCTCTTTGCTGCTGCTGCTGCCATTCTCCCCACCATGATGACAATGGATTCACCTCTGTAATTATAGGCAAGCCTCCAATTAAATGATTTCTTTTGTAAGAGTCGCCTTGGTCATGGTGTCTCTTCACAGCAATAGAACAGTGACTGAGAAAAATACTATTCAATTACTGGTTTTTACAATGGTTACACATTACAGTGATACCATTTTGAATACACTGTGTCAAATAAAACATTACCAAAAATAATTTCAGCCAATTCCTGGCAGTATACATGTAAAATACCAGCAGCAATGGCGATGTCGAGGAGAGGAATCTCATGTTTGAGGCAAGCCTGAGCTGTGTAGTAAGACCAAGCTCGCCCCAGACAAGGGCAGATTAGCTGAGTGCAGAACACTTACCAAGCATGCGCAAGGCCTGGGGGTTGATCCTCAGAAACATGATTTTTTTTTTTTTTAAACTTGTTCCTTTTCTTTTAGAGACAGGATTACAGCCACGAAGGGCTCTCTTTCCCTGGAACAGTAAATAACCAACAGCCCTTTCTCCTCTAAGTTGCTCTTGTCAGGATATTTTATCACAACAGAGGAGAATCTAAGCCACCAGGCAGCATTCTCACACTGTGAACACCTCCAGACTTTGGGTCTAGTCTTAAGTCTTTCAAGTGTGTTTCCCTCGTGGAGAGTCTGGATATTTCTTACTAAGTTTACACCTCGATATTGTATTTTCTTTTTGTTACCACAGACAGGCTACTTCCTTCCCCTTTATCTTCCTCATGGCCTATATGCCCTAGCCCTGTTTAGCTTTGTTTTGTATTTTAAGTCAGGACCTAATTTAGCCCAGGCTGGCCTTGGACTAGCTATGTAGCTGAGGCCAGCCTTCAACTCCTAGTCCCGCTTCCCTCTCCCAACCATGGGGATTACAGGCACACACCACCACACCTGGCTGGTTTATATGCATGAGTGATATAGATTTTTATGTGTTGATTTTTAATTTGTTGCTTTGCAGAATTTCCTTCTCTTTGGTAACAGCGTTTCCTTTGATTCCTATGGGTTTTGGTTCATATGGGATCATGTCTTTCATAAATACAAATAATTTAGCATTTTGCATCTATGTTTTCTACGTTTTCAGTTTGACCTTTGTTAAGTTTGGGGATTGCTGTTATACCTATTAACTAATTTAATTTGGAATTTTCCCTTTTCATTTTATACTCTAAATTAGGTAACACCATACTACCTAATTTTTAAGCATTTAGTAGAATTTCTGAGTGAGGTTGTTTGGATTTATGGGTTCTGTTCAGTGGTGGTCTAAAGTATGACCACAAAGAATCCTCAGGAGATGTTTTCGGGAGAGGGGATTGGTCGTTATCTTGACTGTCCTACGGTTGTAGGACTGTGTGTAATCACCGGAGTCTCTAAGCCACACAGTTACAGTGGGTGAGTCTATCATTCAACTTGGAGCTTGCTGATTGGCTAGACTGGCTGTCCAGTAAGCTGCAGTTTCCACCTCACCCCACCCTCAATGCCGGGGTCACAGGCATGCACAACCATATCCAGTTTTCCATGTGGGTGCTGGGAATCCAGGTCTTCACGCTCACACAGCAAGCACTTTACCAACTGAGTCATCTTCCAGCTGTCTGGGCTCTGGTCCCTCAGGTCATCCTAGCGGAGCCTCAGAATGATGCACTAGCATGGCACAGTGCTGGTGTCTTAGTCCACTAAATTACAGGGCAATGAAGTAGATATGGGAACATGTCCTTGTGTGTTAGCCTTCATTTATGAAATCAGGTTTTTTATTTCTTTTTCTAAGTTGTCATCCATTTATCTTCTCAGGCCTTTCTTTCCTCAAATGACTTCTTTTTGTTTTGTTTTTCAAGACAGGGTTTGTCTGTGTCACAACCCTGGCTGTCCTGGAACTTCGCTTTGTAGACCAGGCTTGCTTTAAATCAAATGACTTTCTTTTTAAGCTCTTCTAATCTTATTGTGCTGTTCTTTCACATATCTACCATTTTCTTAATTTCTTTGAGTTCCTTTACTATATTAGGTTATGTTATCTTTTCTTGGGGAGGTCTTCTGAATGCCGCATCATCTATATAAGCACTGTACCTTACTTTCTTTTGTCTTAAGTGGTTTTGTGTGTAGGTTGGCTAACAGTCGCTTTCCCTTGCTCACTTTTAACAATGGGAATTTTTGTTCTTTGGGAAAAGAAAGGTAGGCTAGGACAAATTTCCTGGACTCACTATCTTGGAAGCTCACCTTCTTCTATTTTGAAAAAATGATATTGAAATAGCTGTGGCTAGACATTTTCTGTCTTGAGCCCCACTACTCTCCCTTAATCTGGATCATTTTCTCCTTTCCCCACCCCCTTCCTGTCGTCTCTGGGGTGCTCAGCTGAAATTTGTTCCTAAAGGTATTTTGTCAGTGCAAAACTTTATCCCCAAACAAAAACTGTGCAGATTTAAAAAACGTAGACAGCCCAGAACCTTCCAGAATCTTCCATCTTCCAGAATCTTCCATCTTCCAGGGATCCCCTAGCACACATGTACAAACTGGACTCTGAAACTTCTCACTTTCGTCTGATATTCTCTGACTGAGCTAACAGGATTCTGAAGTCGAGTTTCTGGTTGTTGCTTCCTGGGCTCCCAGACTCCAGTTCTTCCTCTTCCCAAACAATTGTCAAAGGTTCTCACTGTCATCAGTAGCTTGTGCTCACTTGTGTTATTTTGGAGTCTGTGACCATGTCTTTGTCACCCAGTTTAACTGGAGTTCATTGCTATTCACACCATAGAATCGGCAGGACCAGAGGCTCCCAGAGGGCTGGTTAACGCTCAGCTGCCACATCCCACACCTGGAATGTCTGAACCAGAGGTCCCGTGCGAGACCAGGTAATGCGGATGCTTCAGAGTTGGAGACCCTCCCTCTAGAACAACAGTTATAGAAACCTGTGAGTTCGTTTTTGTTTGTTTCTTGGTTTTGCTCTGCTAATCTCACCATTTTATCTGTTGTTTGTTTGTTTGTTGTTTGTTTCTGGAGGAAACTGACAAATTAAAAAAATCACAGTGCTGCCATTTTGGTAAACAGCCTGGCAGTTCCTTGAGATGCAAAACACAGTTCCTACAGGAGTTGAAGTCCTGTTCCTGGATGGGCAAAGGTGAACGAGAGGGACTGGAGAGATGGCTCAGCGCTGAGAGCGCCAGCTGCTCTTCCGGAGGACCCAGGTTCAACAGCCCTCACTCCCATGGCGGCTCACAGCTTGCTGTCACTCCCATTGGGGGTGGGGATCTGATGCCTTATCCAGCTTCTGCAGGTGTGCACTTGGTGCACGGACATACACTCGGGCAGAACATTCATACACATAAAATAAAAACGGAAAGAAAGGAAATGAAAATGCAAGTTTTCACAAAACGTTGCACCTGAATGCCTATTTACATATTATCCACGATAGCTCAAATATAGAAACAACACAAACGTCCATTAGTAGATGGGTGAATAAAAAAAGAAAACATAGTATCTTCATGCAATGGGATGTTATGCAGACTTTAAAAGGAATGAAATTCTAACACATACACCAACATGGGTGATCCTTGAGGGTCATTATGCTAAATGTAATAAAGCCAGGAACAAAGGGCTAAATATTGTTATGATCCATTTCATGAAAATTCCAGAATGGGCAATTTTTTAAAAATTTTATTTTATTTTACAATACCATTCAGTTCTACATAACAGCCACAGATTCCCTTGTTCTCCCTCTTCCTGCCCCCTCCCCTTCCCCCCAGCCCACTCCCCATTCCCACCTCCTCCAGGGCAAAGCCTCCCCTGAGGACTGAGATCGACCTGGTAGACTCAGTCCAGGCAGGTCCAGTCCCCTCCTCCCAGATTGAGCCAAGCATCCCTGCATAAGTCCCAGGTTTCAAACAGCCAACTCAT